GGTAATTTTAGTGTGTGTCTTGTGTCTTGACTTGTGGTTTATTTCTATTAATTATTAGTATTAAGTAGTTGATTAGTTGTCTACTTGTGTAATATGTTGTTGAAGTGCGTTTCTTAATCAATGTTAGGTTTTTGCAGCTATGTATTTTTATCTTTACTTTTTCTATACGCTTAGCCGTTAAACGAGCTGATGATTTTCTGTTCTTTCTGTCCCTTCGACCCAGTGGCATGGCACTATTGTCTTCATAAATTTTGGTAATATAGAATCGGTAAGAAAGCGCGTAATTCGAGTGTCGACATCTAAGTAACTACTTAATTTCAATTTAAAATATGTTGCATAAAGTGTACCTACCTACGGGCAAAAATTTGGTAAAGTATGTACCTACCTATTGCATAATGAATTAGTATCAAAGTGAGCAATTTCATGAGATTAGCGTCACTGTTCACGGTTTAGTAACGAAAGAGTGATTTTTGAGAAATTAGCTTCTACTGTACTCGACCCTTTGTCTTTTTTATTGGCATTCATTTAGTCACTCTTTCAGCGAGTATACGTCGGTTTCGTTTGTGTTTTAAATTAAGGCTTTGACTGCCAATAGAAAACTGTTGGAGGCAAATTCTCCGCTAACGTCGGTCACCGGTGACCTTCATGGCGTTTAATGTGTAAATGAGGGCATAATTCTAATTCAAGAGATTATTAAATCTATGTAGGTAAGTCAAGTTCCCTTTGACAGAAGTACCCTGAGCAGCTGTATGATTAATTACCGAAAGCTATAATTTTACATTTCATAATATTTCCTTTAAACTTTATGACGTCACAGAATGACGCAACAACCATCCCTGCAACTTCAACATCTCCCTGCAACATGTAACGTAACGTAACGGGATCTTGCAACAAATCAACACATTATTATTCAATCAATAAAAACATACAAATTGTTGACAAGTAGAACGGAAATTACATGGTTTTGCTTAATGACTTTTAACATACTGATTACAAGGTTCAAATTCGCATCAAATGATTGGTTGTTCGTAATTCTCAAAACATGATCTGGTTTAATTTGTGTAATGGTTGAAGAGTCGAACCTTTTCCGCTTGTCTTGTAAGTAAATGATTGTAAATATCAATTACATTGTTATTTAACAGCTGTTAGTGACTGGCGCCCTAGTGACTTAGTGACCGGTTAGCTAAAGGTTAGGGTAATCGACAATCGACACAATACGTGTGACGAGTGTAACTTTAAATAAATGATTTGGGTTTGGGCTAAGAGGTCGTGAGATTTGTGACGTGCTCATTTAACTTTCTTTGCAATCGGTACGACCATTGTCGGAGAGATTCTCTTGATTGTATCTAGGGTCGTTCACCATAATTACTCGTACCATCATCATCGTCATACTAGGCGTATAATGTCCACTGCCGATCATGAGCTTCTCCCAATTAACCCCAGTTATCACTGCATAGTATAAAACAAAGTCGCTATCCGCCGTCTGTCTATCCCTATGTATGCTTAGATCTTTAAAACTATGCAACAGATTTTGATGCAGTTTTTTTAATAGATAGAGTGAGTCTTGAGGAAGATTTATATGTATAATACATGCATATTGCACCCGTACGAAGCCGGGGCGGATCGCTAGTAACGATATAAATAAGGCCTGAGATTGGCTTTAAAGCCGAAGTCACGACCTCATCGAGTATATCAAGTAGTTGATCAGCATTCCTTTAAAAGCGCTGAAGACTGTCTTATAAAGAAATTGACGGTGCACATGAATCACTAGCATCCTTAGTACCGAGAACCCACGCGATCCCGTAGATTCCACAATATTATAACGGTTAGCCCACGGCTGCGTGACGGCGACGATGCGTTAATATTGATATTCCACGGTGTTGCGTAAGGGAAGTCGTATTAATGATCCGAACAGTTAATCCAATGAGAGACCGGTCTGACGCGCGAGACTGTCTGCGCCTGCGCTTATGGCCGCTGTTACACCGTAGCGTAGCATACGAGCGCGCGCATAGCATACCTTCAGTAGATATCTACAGACGCTGCTATATATATAACTTACTTCAATTTGTGTTTCGGATACCTCAATAGCTTTTTGATTTAATAAAAAATATATAAAGTAAAAATGTATAAAGAAAGACCGCAGCGATAACACAGTCGATTTTTTTTCTTCAAAGTTAATTCATATTACTATGTGGAATTATTATGTTATGTTATTTCCATTTCATTATATTAACAAGTTCGGTGTGACACACGCCAGTAGACCGACCTCGCAAGGCCGTGCATCCGCCGTCCGAATAAGGCTCCACCTTCCCGCCACTTTTATACTGCATAGTTTTTTATCCAACATTACACAAATACCTGTATGAGCTAGCGGTATAGTTTTTATCTCATAACATGCACTGGGAGCTAATTTGTGTGCGTCTAAATTAATTGCTCAGACAGTTCATTGTTTTGAACATTTATAAGACTCTGAAGGAAATTTTAGAAGCCTAAAAAAAGAAACCTAACCTAGTGCAGTTTTATTATCCTTAGATATTGATAAGCTAATAGGTTTCTTTTATGATTCTAGAATATCATGTTTAACAGTGTGATTTTAATTGCTGTAACAGTGTTATTTCATGACAAGCTCGCCCCAACCTCCAAAAACCGCTGTAACTCCTGTAAGACAGGATCTACAGTAGATACAACCATGAAAACATCGGAACACTGACACAAGGGACATGAATGACTGTGTTGGTTCTCGCAACGAAATAAATTACATAATTATACATAACATAACATAATATCACACCTTTTTATCCCCGAAGGGATAGGCATACGTGCACATTTCGGCACTTAATGCCACTATATAATGTAACACCCACTTTTCACTATTTATGTTTTGTAGTCCCATGTAATAGAGGGTGAGCCTATTGCCATATACCGGGCACGTTTTCTAGACTCCGTGCTACTACTCCGTACTACTGAGATTTTTAAAAACCCAGTAATACTTAATCCCGACGACGAATCCCGGGTTAAACCCCTTGCCCGGCAGTCGCACTTGCGACTACTCGGCCAACGAGGCAGGCAGGCGAGCAGAGAAATAAATTAAAAGATATTATAAGAGGAGAATTTTAATATTTCAATTGTACATTAATTTTCCATCACAAACAATACAATATGTTTCTTTTTTGTCCATATCCCATGACGGGTTCTAAAAATTGATCTTCTTTTTGTGAGGTTAACATAATAAGCCTCTTATGAACACCCGGTGCTTGAGAAATTTCGACTGTTTTTGTATTGTTCAAGGTCACAAAACTGGAATATTACCACCTGTGGACCTGTGGGATCCAAGTGAGTAATTGTGGGTAAATGAACTCAGGTGTAACACTATTTTTGACATTTTAATTGTGTATTGAAGTAGCTGGTGCACATTGTGTTCTATAGATGACATTACAATATCTATAAATAAACTTAATGTAAAAGTACTTTAACAGCTCTTTTTGGAGTTAGAGTTTTAATTTTTAAAATGCTATGAAAAGCTTTTAGAAGAAGACTTTTATATTAAACTGTCAAACACCAAGCGGTCACCGGTGACCGCAACCTATTGTTCTATAATTGTGTCTATGATGACGGTACTCGACGAGTTAAACTAGTCTTATTACAATTTAGTTCTTGCAAGGCATTTTTTGATCTCTAATTCTTCTTTTCATGGCTAACGAGACAAGATAAGAACATTCTAGTAGCGAGCTCTATTTTTTGTCAGTTTTAGTATGCTCCTTACCAAATAGATTGGGAGGCGTTACCACCAGTTTGTTCAATAAGGAGTAAAGTTAATGCCGCCATTGTGGATTATCAACGCCATTATAGAGTACGACCTTGTCTGTGGTAGTGTTGCACGGCCGTCACTAATTCCCTCTATTGTCTCTGTGGGAAATGGTCTGAATGTTCGACACATTCTACGCAATTGTGTTCTTTTTGGAAATAATGAACATACGTGGAATCTTGTGGAATGAAATGTTTTATCAAAACAAAATAGGTTCATGTCCTTGGCTGTTTTTGTAAAGATATGATTGTTTTTGTTTGTGTTGATATATAAATGTAATATCGAATTATCTAGTAATGGTACTGTCAACTTTAACATTTAGTGGTAAAGACTAAAATGAAATGAAGCATGTTGTCAGTTTAGGATAACTTGTTGCGACGTCTGTACGTAACGCAGACAATTAGACTATTTTAAAATCACATTAACTTGAAGTATCTTAATTAATGTTTAAATGATATCTAACCACTATTCATAATCATTGTTTTAATTAATAACTGCTTTATCTAAGTCGCTCACCTTCCCACAATAATTGCAAAAGTATCAAAATTGTTTCATCGTGCAGACATATCGTAATATGTCGGGGTTGCCAACGTCGTTGATGTCAAAATGGCAAGTAATGCTATTTCCCTTATGGCTCTTTTCCTTGATCAATAAGCAGATTAATAGCTAATTTGTAGTAAGCCCCTGTCCTACTTATGCTATAAAAGTATGACGCAATAAAGTTGATTTTTGCATAACCAAGGTTTAGGAAAATGTCACCTTTAATTTTCGGCATGTCTTGGTTAGGGTAATCGAGCGCGGTTCAGAACGGGATCTGATGACTTCCTCTCATTTGCTAAAATTATTATGACCAATGTTCAATTGACCTTAATTTATATAACAGAAATTTTCGCTTGTTTTTCCACAAAATTCTGAGAGTGTAATGAGCCTAACGTGGATACAATGAACCCGCTTTTTATTAGTATACCTAAGTTTATTCTTATAGTGTGTAGCGTAACTATAACCTAGTTGCTATTAATTATTTTTAAAGAATTAAGATGAAGTCAGGAATCTAATACTAGCCTAAATAACCTGTGATGACAGATCAGTAATTTTGTAAGACAAGTCAATGAATAATAACTTTCTTAACAAGTTGTTAAGGTCTCATTAAAATTGTTCAAAGTAACTTAATACTTAGATGAATCGATTAACTAACATTCGAGCGTGGCTACCTGCACTCGTCATATTGATGGCTGTTGGCTGTTGACCTCAAGTAATCGAATCTGTTCCCATGAGTCACATTCTTCGTCATGGCTTCATTACTATGGAATATAAGTAGCCTGAAACCAAACGAAGAAGGCTACAAAACAATATCTACAGGACTTTTACAGGTCAAATGGTAATAAAAGAGACTGTTGTATTTCGCATATCACCAAAACAATCTAACTGGTCTTTTTTTAACTCAATTATTTAATAAAATGGACGAAGTTGATCTTGATGTTGCTTCTCTGAATCATTAAATGTTAGTTCTTCTCATGACCTTCTAATAATAGTCCCTTATAATACAAGGATTTTATCTCACGCTCAGAAGATTGTCCCGTTGTGCCATTGTCCTGTAATCGGTCCTGCGTCCTGACATGGTTCGGTGTTTGCAACTCTGAATCAGTTCATCCAGTGTCAGATATAGTTGGTATCGCTACTCTTGGACATCTTATGACAGGTTTGCTTACATAAATCCTTTATGATTAATCATAATTTGCTTTTTGTTGATTCAGTTTATCTTTTGTAGAATTAGTTTTTCTCACAGCAGGATTCAGTGCATTTTTGTGTTTCTTGTTTCACTTACAAAACTAAAGCTTAATATAGGAAGAATAAGTTTTAATATTTATCAATTACTGTATCATAAAGAATGTGTCACTTGACACCAGCCGTCGCATACTTTGTCATGGCCTCGTTAGCAGCGATCATGGGTCACCAGCTGAGGGGGATTCCCACAGGTGTCCGAGATGAGAGCATCCCTTGCGTGGTGAACCGAGACCGTTGTTCCACACTGGCCTTAGTGAATGCACTCTGAAATAACAAAATTCCTAAGTATTTTTGGGGGAATTCTTTGAAATTGAATTAAGAATTGCTTTATAATGTATGCTTTAGAATATAATTTTGTAGCTTTTCAATACACACTTGGTTACTTATGATTAGTTAATGTAAAATTCTATAGTATTAATAAATGGGCTTGGTCTAGTTTACTCCTATTACAAGCAAAATTAACTGATGAAAAGTATTTTTCTGACATTTAAGACGAGAGACAAGATTACAGGGTGTAAAAGGAACACATCAGATGTCGCGGGAACGGGTTGCGGCTGTGGTCAGCATTGCGGGGCGCTCCCAATTGTAGTCCTTCGCTCCCACGGGCTCGTAATATCAATCACCATTGTTTAAGTAATCATATATTTTCGGTAATGTTTTGCGCTTTTAAAAATTCTCAGTAGTAGCACGGAGTCTGGAATTGTGCCCGGTATATGGCTATAGGCTCATCCCCTATTACATGGGACTCATATCATAAATAGTGAAAAGTGGGTGTTACATTGTACAGTGGCATAATGTGCACCTCTGCCTACCCCTTCGGGGATAAAAGGCGTGATGTTATGATGTTATGTTACATACTTAAGATACTGGTAGATAGCTATCGGATTCGATGACTGGCTTTAGCAAAGTTCTAGCGAATAAAAAACTTGCTTCTATTTTTACGGTCTCCGATAATTAATTTCAACGATTGTTATTACCATTCAATGTGCAGTTTACTTCATTATCAACATCTAATACTTGTCAAGGTATCATACACAGAAATATATAGGTATTTGTGTATTAAATGGTGATTCAAAATAATTTCAGTATATTTACAAAGATCATCACTGAATATGCAAGTCATACACTGTGGCTGTAACATCTCTACAACAATGGTAATATCATAATATCTGGCCCAGTATCTAACGTGCTTACGTCATAGTTTTACTATTACGTCACGATACGTTGTCATAGCATGTAAGGTTATGATTATCTTCGAGGGTTCTCAGAAGATTATCTCAACAAAGCCGTGTTGCATTAGGTACTTATTGCTTAGGTTACAATTGAGTATAATGTTGCGAGATATTGTATTGCATGTTTGTTGGACTCATTTTGATAGATATATCAGTATAGAAGTGCATGGGTAGGTATCTATCTTATTTTGTTATGTCTAGAAAATAAATCATGCGTTTTTGTGAATATTTGAGTACTATATAATCAATTTTAAAGCAGACATAATATAACATCATGCCTTTTATCTCCAAAGGGGTAGGCAGAGGTGCACATTACGGCACTTAATACCACTGTACAATGTAACACCCACTTTTCACTATTCATGTTATGAGTCCCAGGTATTGCCTATTGCCATATACCGGGCACATTTCCAGACTCCATGCTACTATTGAGGTTTTTACAAACCCAGTAATACTTTGCCCGACCCGGTAATCGTACCCGAGACCCTTTGCCCGGCAGTCGCACTTTCAACCACTCGGCCAACGAGACAGTTAAAGTAGACGTATCTCTTATTAAAGATTGCACAGTTAAGTTTATTGCATACTGATAAATATTTGTGTTTATAGAAATAAGATGTGCTATTGTAAAAATTATATTTAGACCTCCTCTCGCCTGCGATACAGGATTGTCCTAGTGCAGGCATCTAACTATTTGAGGTCAATTGTACGTAATTTAGATATATTTTCGAATTTTGCATTTTTGTTATTATGAATAAAGTTTTATTATTATATTATTATTATTGAATATAAACATATTTCAATTTCCTTTTTCATCAGTTAAAAGTCCGAGTGTTGATTTGATAAATCTATACAGGTAAATAAATTTGGAGTGTCTGTTTGTAATGTTAAAATAACCGCTTTTTACTATATGCATATGAATATACATACGATTCACAGCCAAGATAACATTTTTTACAATTTTTGTCCGTCTGTTTGTACTGCCTAATCTCTGGAATGGCTGGACCGATTTTCCAAGACTTTTATTGGCAGATAGGTGATATACTAAGGAGTAATATAATAATAATAATAATAATAATAATAATAGCCTTTATTTAACAATCTTTCTTACAATTGTAGTAACAATAATCTTATTTAATTATTTGACACCGGTACATGAAGATTGTCTTGCTGTCCAGCATAGGCCTCCCCTAGAGCTCGCCATCGGATGCGATTCTGCGCTTGTCTCATCCAATTATGTCCCGCTATTGTTTTGAAATCGTCTTCCCATCTACGACGCTGTCTCCCTTTCCTTCGTTTGTATTGTCTCGGGCACCACTCTGTTACGTCCTTACCCCATTTATCCCTATTACTCCTCATCATATGGCCTGCCCACCTCCATTTTAGTTTTTTAACACAGTAAGTAACATCCGTGATTTTAGTTTTCCCTCTTATACCTCTAAGTTTTATTTTATCTTTTAATTTAATGTTAAGTATGCTCCGTTCCATATTGTGTTGACAAGTTTCTAACTTATGTATGTTATGGTTAGTTAAGCTCCAGGTTTGGCAGCCATATGTCATAACCGGCAGAATACACGTATCAAATATTTTGCTCTTTGCTTTCAGTGGCACGAGTGGGTTTTTCATGATCTCCTTGAGGGACCAGTATCTTTTCCATGCCAAAGTGATTCTGTTATTAATTTCTTTTGTTGCCAAATCTATTGGAGATATGATCTGACCAAGGTACGTGTATTCCTTCACGTATTCTATGGTTTTTCCATTGACAATTATAGGGGTGTTTTCCGAGTTTGACATTATTTTGGTTTTCGCCGTATTCATAGACAATCCCACATTATCACTTTCATACACCAGTTGTTCTAACATCTTTTGCAAACTTGTTGAATCTTCGGAAATTATTATAAGGTCGTCTGCAAATCTAAGGTGGTTTAATCGCACTCCGTTGATAATTAATCCATAGTTATCCCATTCGAGACGTCTGAACACGTGTTCGAGAACAGCTGAGAAAAGTTTGGGTGACAAAGGATCACCTTGTCTTACTCCTCTTTTTATTGGAAAAAAATCTCCATCTCTTTCGGTTCTTATTTTTGCTTTCATGTTCTTATAAATGTTGGTAATCAGTCGAATATACTTTTTCTCCACTCCTTGTGTTTCTAAGGCTTCCCAAATCTTTGTGTGTTTTAAAGAGTCGAACGCTTTATTATAATCCACGAATGCCAGGTAAAAAGTAATATTGTATTCATTACATTTCTGGATTACTTGTTTTATAGAGTGAATGTGATCAATTGTTGAGAACTCGCTGCGAAAACCTGCTTGTTCTTTGGGTTGGTTTTCATCCAAAGTCTTTGTTAAACGATCTAGCAGTACTTTTGAAAATATTTTGTACACATTGGACATCAAGCTGATGGGTCTATAGTTGGCTATATCATCTTTGTTCCCTTTTTTATGTAGTAATATAATAGTTGATATAGTCCACTGTTGAGGTATATATTCTGTGCGCAAAATTTCATTAAATATCTCAGTAATAGTGTTTACCGTTACTTTGGATGATCCTATTAACACTTCATTAGATATGCAGTCTCCTCCAGGCGTTTTCCCTTTCTTCTGTGATTTGATAGCCTTATTGATTTCATCTCGCAGTATACAGGGGGTCTCTTCTTCGTCAGTTCTGACCCAGCTTACTAGCTGGTTGGATCCCTCTATTGTTACGTCTTTGTTGTATAATTCGCGGTAATATTCTGTTGCTACTTTTAATATTTCGATTCTATTTGTTTTACTTTTCTTGTTTCTATGATTTTTCATGCTGTCGATCCAGGTTGTATTATCTCTTAATTCGACCCATGCTTTCTTGACTCCGCCTGATTTTTCTATATGGTAATTCAGTGTTTCAGTCCTCAATTTCTCTCTGTGTTTTCGTATTTGCAAGTATATTTCTTTGCTCAGATTTGTTATTTCTTTTTTGTTGTTTTTCCTGTCTCTAATCAAAATTTTTCTTTGCATGATCAATTTTCTTGCTTTTGGACCTAATTTATCTTTTTCCTCTCTTGTTGTTCTCATTTTACTCTCAGTTTCTTTTAATTCCTTTTCTAGAGCGTCATACTTTACTTGCACTTCTTTAAGATTATCTATTTTTTCTAAATTACCGTGTAAGGCTTCTAAAATACTTTCCGGGATTGGTAAAGCTACTGGTTTCGTATTGTAGATATTTTTCCTAGGTGTTTTTGGTTTTTGTGTATACAGTTGTCCTCTAAGTAGTCTGTGGTCTGAGTTGTAGTTAAATTGGTTGATAATATTTATGTTTAAAAACAATCTTGGTCTGTTTGTGGTAATATATTCTATTTCGTTTCTTATCTTACCATTCGGTGATACCCATGTCCATTTCCTATTAGGATTCCTTTTGTAATAGCTGTTCATGATCTTTAGGTTGTTTTCCAACGCGAAGTTTATCAGTCTTTGTCCATTATCATTTCTTTTTCCAGTTGTGTGTGGTCCAAGTACTTTGTCTTCGTTGGTTCTTCTCTTTCCTATTTGGCCATTGAAATCTCCCAATACAATTATAGTTTTATACAAAGTTGGCATTATTTCGTTAAGTTTGTTGTAGAAATCGTTTTTTACTTCTTGTCTGGTAACATCAGTCGGAGCATATATTTGAACGATTGAAGATGGTTGTTTATGGCCAGGTAATTTAATATTCAAAATTGCTATCCTATCCGATATGCCTCGAAATTCTATTATTTCGTTTTTAAGATATTTTTTGACCATAAATCCTACTCCATAAAGGCCAGCCAATACGTTTTTGTAGTAAAATATATATTTATCATGTTCTTCAGTTCTCTCTTCTGCTCTCCTCACTTCGCTTAACCCTAAAATATCCCAATGTATGGTTTCTAATGCATTTTCTAATTCGAGTAAGGATTCTTGGGATTTTAACGATCTTGCGTTTAGTGTGGCTATATTCAGTCTTGTTCTTTGTTTATGTTTATTTTTCCCGGAGTAGTATTTGTTAAGATTCTCAGATGTGTT